TTCAGTTTCATGAAAAGGCATTTCACCGAAACTATCAGTAGCAATGTTTACATTTTTACATTCAAAATTAAAACTTTCTTTTATCATCTCCCCTATTAACTCATTAAAAGCACTTAACGACAAGAGTAAATCATTACATAACTTATCCACCATTGCACATGTTATAAAAAATAGGTGACATAAATTTATCATTTTCAGAATATATTACTAAAGGTAGGTTAATGAGGAGGAGCTTTTAAAGCTTGTCCGAAAGCTGACGTGAGGATAACACTTCCATGTGGCGTACGGTATTTTTCTGGTACAATGTCGGACTTGACAACGGTTAATTGCGTGCCTGTATCTGCTACTGCATTCATTAATTTACCATCACATATAAGGTTTAACGGTTGGCAAGTCATCTATTAATTCTTTAACTTCTCTTGATTCGCAGTAAAAGTATTTAGAAGAAATCTTTGCAGTTACAGCGTTAGAATTATTCTTAATTTCTTTAATAATATAAAGCTAAAGTTAAGCAACCCTTTCCTTATCTTCATGCAACAATATATTATGATACTTAGAATTACATTTTGAACATTTTAATTGAGAAGGGCAATTTTTTATTCTACAATTCCTTTCGAAACAAAGAAAGCACCGATTAGAAGCCCTTTTAAACTCTTTTTTTCTTTCTTCCGGAGACATAACGCATTTTTCCGAAGCATGATTTTCGCTTTCGCAAAATAAGCAAGGGAAACGTTCGAACAACTGCAATTTTGCTTACATTAGGGGAATAGCTGGCGCCAAATTTGTTGGCGTTGAATGAATTCCGAGTGTGGAAGTTGTTTCGCTTTTCATTTGGTTGTGAATGCCTTCCAAGAGAATTAGCGTGAACTCTTAGAATAAAATAAAAAATTTAATGAAGTTCGTTCGCGACTTTCAATTTCCCGTTTTAGAAATTTCATGAGGTTATCGACATTAAAAGTTTCCTCATCTGCGTTTTGACGAAGCAAAATCAAGCGTTATATCCTGAGGTATGCATTTCATTAACAAAGGGTATAGTAAATTTCCATACGATTCGGTCTTTGACCCCTATCGAATTTAGTGACCTTACTTGTACGTTGCAGGTATCATATAATTCCCTCAAAGAATTAATGTCATTAGAACTTCGGACAGGCCGTAAATTTAAAAGTTTATGCATGTAAGAATTAATAAGGAGATCTTTTCGACCATACCTCTCCTTTGAGAATTTTAAAAGCTTCGTCGTAGTTTTCTGGAGATAAAGAAAAGCCTTCTATTGTTTTTAAAGCCTAACAGGCAAGCTGCACCGCCTAACAGGCTAAGCAAGTAATTAAACTTTATCTACTTTAGATAGTTTTTCGTTTTGATTTATTGCCGTGTCAAAAGAATTGTAAAATGTCTGCCACATTTCAGCATTCCCATAAAATTTATCAATCATAATCTTCGGCAATTTAACATTATAATCAGAACTTTTATCGACACCAGAAATAAGATAAATTGTTACTATCATTAGAAGAACCATTAGAAACTAGCGAATTATTGCTATTTCTTTTTTCTTTCAATAATTTTGTGCCTCTAAAGCTCCATTTCGCAAATTTTTTCTTCGTATTCCAAGGCACTTTCGATTTCGGTTTCAATGTCATTAACATCAGTCAAAGTTTTAATTTTTTCGTCTAACGCTTTCAAAGAAATAGCTTTTACTTTTAAACTTTCCAGTGATTCTTCAAGGTCTTCAAGGTTACCGGCTGCTGCAATTAATGATTCAATAGCATTTGTTACTTTAGTAATGGCTGAACGCATAACTTTTCCGTTCTTCTTAGATTTCGTTAGCTCTTCAGCCATTTTTGTAACCTTGAATTCCACTTTACCACAAAATAAATTCAACAAATTTCTTAACCTTTCTGAAGACTCACTTACGCATTTATCCGTGAACTTTGCAGAATGACATATCCTCCTGTTCTGACACCACTGTCATATCCTTCTTTTTCTTGGACGTGTGTAGCTTCTGGATATGTACTTTACTTCCTACCGTAGACGTATCGTATGTGTGGCGTTGCATAAAACAGCCATTTTAACGGCACAAAACTTTATTAACACACAAATAAAAATAATAAGTACAAACGATTAACACACAAGTATCACTTCGTATCTTGCATCTAAGCTGACATAAAACACGTTTCCTTCGTTACTTCGCTACTACCTACTAACTACTCTTCTCTAGTAAGTCTCATGAGAGAGAGGCGTTGCAGGCCGTTCGGCTGAACTGCGCATGCGTGGTCATCACGTCATGACATAGCCCTAGTGTGCTTTGCCGTATTCTCAATACACACCAACAACGGTAAAGGCAGCTTCAGGGCAAAGCACTAAAGTACAACTCCCGACTCAATCAATCTCTCTCATGCTAATCTCTGAATTCAAAACACTACTACTCCCCGTATAGGCAGAATACCGCTAAAAATGTGTTCCAGAATGTTCTAGCTTCGTCAATGCCATATCACCAATTTAGTCGCCAAATATCTCCAAATAGGCAATTTTGTGCCAAATCTGGCAACCCTGCCTTTCCATGCTTCTTTATGGCAACCCTAAGCTCGCTCTGCCGAGAAGCTATCTCACCTCTCAGCCGCTGGGCATTTCTTTCACAACAATATAAATAGTTGTTTTTAATAGCACTTTGAAGTTTGAGTTCTCCTTACATCACTAGAAAATATTCATAGAAAATATTTGTAGTCTTTAGATTTATTCAAGATAAAATTTACAATACGAAGCAGATATAAATTGTCTTCATAAGAGAAAGAATCCAAGCTACTTATTTCTTGAATTACAGTTCTGTTTTAAATAATAAATTTCTGCCAGTTTTATATCAAAATGTCTCCTTAGGTAATCACTTACTACAGATTCACAGAGCAGGATTTTAACGCCTCTTCGATGGAATTTTTGAGGAAGCCAGTGGAAGAGTTCTTCAAGTGCAAGATAAAATCTGAAGGCAAAGAAAGACTCTGCAAGTAAGAATAATGAACAACAAAAAAATCATCAAAATTTTAAATATTGCATTCAAAATAATTTTACATGTACACATACTAAAAATAACCTTAAAAGCATACACTGTAATAAGGAATAATATTACAGTAGAATTAGATTATTTTCTTGGATAAAGACTACTTGTTTGGATAGGAATCACCTTAAGATTCAAGGTTTGTTAAAATTTCTAATAAAACTCTCGATGTTTACAAAATCTCTTATATACAGGATGTACAAAAATGGTAACTACAGGTTCCATTATTTTTAGTATCGATCTCAAGCAAACAATCCAAATAGAGTGTCCGAAATTAAGTACAGATTTTTCATGCAAACGATGCCACCACTATAGATCTAAGTGTTCTAAAAAAGATCTGATTTTTTATATGCGAATCCCTGTATATTGTGAATTACAATTAATGAAATATTTGTTATAATCTCCTAAATTAAAAGTAAAAAATTCATATATTTTTTTTAAGTGTTAGGATATATTTGAGAATGAATTTAGTTACTGTGAAGATTTATCTGTGTCTTGATTGACTTTAATTGAAGATTTTCAAAACAAATTTAGGACACAGCTGCAAGACAAAAGTTATTATTTTGGCAACTGACGAGTGAAAAGAAACTTTCTGTTAAATTTGCTACTGACTACTTGAAAATATCATTATTATGGGCGCACAGATCTGGAACATTTTAGTTTGAATTAAGTTAAGCATAACAAATGTTTTACGAAATGGGTTTTTACTCTACACTGACCATATAAAAATTAAGTTTCATTTTTATAGAGCCTTTCAACTGATCATTTTTATAAAATATTTTTAATTTAAACCTTTGAAATTGTTTTACAAAATAGTAGCTTATTTTAAGAAATACTTTAACTGAAAATAACACTTTTGCAAAAAAATCGGAACACCAAGAACGACTTTTGCAATTGTAACGAAATTTGGTATGTAAAAACATCTTGATCGAACATGCAAATGGTCAAAGTTTCAATGCAAATGAACAGGAATTGCAATCACAGCGCACATTTCCAGTGAGCAATTCGCGAAGTATAAAACCAGTAACAAAGGCGAAAAGTTTACTTTTTTTTGGTTGCTGCCATTGTAATTCCGTAAAGAAGTAACTAAAGATGTCATTGCGACGATATCGAAGACCTTACAGACAACTGAATGACTTCGAACGTGGTCGCACTGTAGGGTTGCGTGAAGCTGGGTGGCCATACCGAGCAATAGGCCGCCACCTGAAGCGTACAGACACTGCTGTGCAAAGATGTTGGCCGCAAGGTGCTACAAGGAAATTGACGACGAAATGAAGGCTCTGGAAGGCCAAGGAGCACAAATGCGAGGCAAGATATAATGATTGCTCGCCAGGCTCGAACCGCACCAGCGGTATCATTGTCGACTATTCAACGTACTACAGCCAGGTCTATACCTCCCGTGGTACCGTCCACCATCTCACGGCGCTTGTCTAAAGCGAGGTTATCCTCACAGAGGCGTTTAAGACGTTTGCTTTTGAACCCACAACATCGGCAGAATCGTCTGGAGTGATGTCGCAGCCGATCATCATGGCTACCATCAGACTGGCATCGTATAGTGTTCAGCGATGAATCCCGCTTCACTCTTGAAGCAGATGATCACCATGTTCGTGTCTAGAGAGGACGGAGCCATTGCAGTCCCAATCAACCTTTGTTTTACCAAAGGCATGCAGCCATAACCGCTGGTGTGATGGAGTGGGGCGCTAATTCTTATGACAGCAGGTCATCTTTAGTCATCCTTCATGCATTTTTAACAGCTCAACGATATATTGATACCATCCTGCGGCCGTTTCCATTACTCTTCATGTCAAGTCCTCCTGGGGCCATTTCCCAACAAGATAATGCCTGGCCACATACCTCTCTCATATCTTTGCAGTGTCTCCGTGCGGTTGATACTCTTCCTTAGCCAGCAAGAAGTCACCAGTTCCTTAGTCACCAGACCTTTCACCAATTGAGCATGTCTAGTGCATGGTAGACCGAAAGATTCGGGCACCACAAAATAGCGCAAATCTGAAGCGACAACTGATGAATGCCTGGCAGAATGTGTCGCAAGATGACATTAGGAACCTCTAACACTCCTTGCCTCGACGAATTCAAGCATGCATTGCCGCCAGGGGCGGTTCGACCAACTACTAATTGGAACATTCATTAGGTGATTGTGAGCCGTGAACAGGTACTAGGACCTTAATTTTTTAATCATTTTATTATCTGTGCATGAGCAATACACATATTCAGTTTCATCAAAAACAACCACTTCCTTCATGGTGCTTCGATTTTTTTGCAAAAGAGTGTATGTTTAGGATCAGCATTGAAGAAAATAAAACCTATAGTTTTTTTTGGGGGGGGGGAGACACCATGTATATATCTAACATGTTAACTAAACTCAGTTTATTTTCAAAATTTGGTGCAATTTCTTAAGATTTCCACCCAGTGTCTTCAATATCACTAAACTGAAATATAATTGAGCTATATACCTTCCAGAGTATTCAGGTGGGAGGAGGACTTTTCATTTGCTATCTTTTGTATTATTAAATTTACCAAATATTTTCAAACAGAACTATCATAACTTCGAAAACACGAGATTAAAAAATAGAGAATAGAAAGTATTGATGTGTGATAAAAATACATACTTAGCGTATTCACACTTGAAATGAAATGACTAGTAAAAAACGACACACAGTTAAATTGCTAAAATGATTAACTTATTTACTAATTTCTATCTCTCTGAATTTATGACAACTTTCTAAGATATCTGAATTTATGATAGCTTTTTGAGATTTTTTTCAGCGCAAATATGAACAGGAACTTAACACTTCACATACCTCACAGGTGCAAAAACTGTTTTTTACTTCCTTGTACGAAGGAAAAAGGAAGTATTGTAATAGCGAAAAGTTTCAGGCAGAATAAAAGACACTTTTCCTCTAAAAAAAATTATAAAACTGCTTTAAAATGAATTCTGAAAACAATTTTTCGTGGTGTCTGTACGTACGTACGTACGTATCTCGCATAACTCAAAAACGAGTAGCCTCAGAACGTTGAAATATTGTATATAGGGATTGCTATAACGTGTAAATGTGCACCTCGTATTTTGGTTGCAATCGGCCCCACCAAACGTATATAAATATATGTGTATATATTTTATTTACTAAAGAATATTGATTATATTATCTCCTAAGATTAATTATAGTAGAATTATCTGAAAAGAGTGAATCCATACTTAGTAAGTTCTATTTCGAAAGATGTTTTGAAGTAACTTGAATGTATATTGTTAAAAATGTTTAACGGGGACTTGAATTAAATCATGAATAACAAAATTTCAATTGCAAAAGGAATAAATTAAAAGCAAGTAATTAAATTAAATGCAAGTAATCATTGCCATTGATCGGAAATTAGTTGACTTTTCAAGGGGAACAAACCAACTTCCGTTCAATGAACAATAATTAATAAATAAATACGAAGGTGTTTCGTCTTTACTCGAGCAATAAGTCTAAGCCAAACCGGCAATTCAAGTCTAAGCCAAATATTTCCGTGAATAGAATGGATTATGAACCAATGCTGATATTCAAAGAACATATTCCTATGAAGCATTTTAGCCACTTCAATTTAGTGAAAAGCAATTTCTGCAGTGAAATTTCGAAAAAACTCGAGTAACCGTCCCCCGACACCCTCGGTGTTTATGCATTTGAGTTCAATATTATTTGTAAAAATTAAACATTGGAAATTGTCATTATGAAATAGAATTCAAAGTAGTTGAAATAAACATTAGAAAAATTACAAAAGAAAAATAATGCAATCTTTGTGAAAACAATCAAAAAATAATATATATATATATATATATATATATATATAATAGGAAGAGTGAATGTACATGAAGATATAAAGAATAACTTGATTTCGCACTAAGTGAATTTAAGATCATACAATATGTATATATATCCGGCTCAGTGATCTCAGTTTCTTTACTCTTATACGTTGGTAAATTGTGCATTTTTTGCTTTAAAAATAATTGCATTATGTTGTTCTTATCTTCCGGTTAAGGTTTTTATGCCTTTAGGAAATCTTCAAGCAATATTTGTAGAATTATCAACATTTTAAAAGCTGTTTAAGTGCGGTTAAGCCTAATTTTTAAATAACATGAAGGACATGTTTCTTTATATTTGAAACAGCAGAATAGTAGATTTGTTACCAATCTAGAGAGACTAAGCTTCGTAACAACAAAGATAACGCCTTCATTTATTATTGAGAATTAAATCATGCTTAATCCATTCTGGAATTTTTTCGAGGAAATAAGTGTTTAAGATTTACTTCGTAATTTTTAATGTAGATATTTTGAGTTTATGTATTTTTGCCTTGTCGCGAAGTGAGAACTGAATTAATTGAATGAAAACTACTGAATCGTCTGTGAAAAACATTTAATTTTTGTTTGCTTTGCTTAATTTCTTTTATACATCGTTCTAGTTTTATTATAGTATTTGTATAGAATATGTGGCAACGATTAGAGAATTCTTGAAATGATATAAATGTTGTGCAATCTGACTTATAATATGAGAAGATTCTGAGTTATAAGTTCGATTACGGCGCTCGAGTCTCATACTGCCCTTTTTGATATTTGGTAAATATTAATTTTGCTTGTTCACCTAGATATGGCCAGTAATAGTGAATCACCCGATACGGGCAAAATTCCTTGGCATGCTACTTTCAGCGATTATGATAGCGATAATGATTCTACTTATTCGAATTATTCAGGGAAAATCGGCTACATCCAAAGATATGCCTGTAATTGCTTCAGATGACACGACGCTTCAAAGTATAATTGAAAAAAGTAGAGTATAAGAAAAGAAAACCGCAGGAAGTCCTATGAAAATAGTCGATAATACTAATTAATTCAAACCCTCCCCTTCAAATTTTACAGCAGTAGTTAACAAACACAGAGAAGTTTTTTCTAATTATCCAGAAGCTATCTCACAAGAATATCTTAATACTCAGCCTGCGACTAACCCAAAAGATTTCCCACTCAAAATAGAAAACGAAATCGTCGATAAATTAAACTGTATTGAGTCTATGAAGACATTTACCTCCCCACCAGCGACAAGAATACGTTCAAAATTACAAGAAGAAATTCAACAAAATCAGTTCATTTTAGCAAGCATTCAGAACACTCCGGAGCTCTCAAATTCTAAAACAGATGATAAAACAATAAATCAGAACGATTGGCAAACTCCAAAGGAAACAGCGAAAAATACCGAGTCTAACCCACCACCAGATATTCCGCAAAATAATAGATTTGAAACTCTTAACGAAAATAACGAAGCTATAGAAGTTACAGATAAAACGCAGACGACTAAAACACAGAATAACCCAGAAAATAAAACGAAAATTCCCCCATAAGTCATTCCGGAAAACGACGTTGATTGGCCTGAAATAGACAAAATGCTCAGAGGAATATGTAAAAACGAATTTGAAGTTACAATCAAAGCCAGACAGAGTTTCCTTTACACTACCACAGAAGCCAATTATAAAGCTACAGTTGATAAATTCCAGAAAGCGCAGATTAATTTTCACGTACCAAATTTCCTCAGTCTCTTCAATTAAAATTATACTTAAGAATATCGCAAGATCGTACACCGAGCAAGCAATTCACGCAGACTTAGCACGCAGAAGCTTACCTATAATTAAAGTAAAGCAATTCACGAAGAAAAGAGAAGACCAAATTATCCGTTTACCTATATTTTTCCTTGAACTAAAAAGAAATTCTGCAGAAGAGAAAATTCGTCAATTAAGCAATATGTTCGGATTCAATATCACAATAGAAAAATATCAGCCCAGAAAACGCCCAATTCAATGTTTCAATTGCCAGGAGTTCGGGCACTCCCAAAATAACTGCTTTAAAAAGGTCAGGTGCTGTAAGTGCGAACAAAATCACAGATCCAATACCTGTAAATTAAAACCAGATGAAAAACCGACTTGCATTTACTGTCACGAAAATCACGTTTCTTCTTATCGTGGTTGTAAGGTATACAGAAAAAGATTCAATCATTTAGAGAAGATAGAAAAACCACAAGAAATTCCCACTGAAGAGGACTTCCCCGAATTCATTCAAGCTTCAGCCCAAACTGATCAAGAAATGCCTAAAAAACCTTACAGTGACAAAATTAAGCAGAAAAATCCGCAGGAGAATTTAGCAGAAATCATCAACATTTTCAAAGATCAGAAAAATCCTTTATCTCATGAAATCAATAACCACAATAGCTCAGATAATTTGATCAGCTAAATGAGATATGCAGAAACTTTGTCTAGCTTTTCAAGCCATCGAGATTATTATGAACTATGCAGTTCAAGATTAATTCGCAGCTTTTTCTCGCTACGAGCATAGCCGAGCGGCAGAAATCTCAAGATGCAGATCTGTACATCGGTCCTTAGCCCCGCTCATGCTCACTACAATTTTTGCCGAAAGATGGCGTCACGTTTACTTCTCTTTTAGAGACTCTGCAGTAGGTGCAAAAAGTACGTTCCATCTTACTGTATTCAACTAATCATTAAAAATACCTTATTTATAATACACTCACTTCCAAAAGTTAAGCACAAAGATGTAAAATGAAAAAAAAAAAAAAAAAAAAAAAAAAAAAAAAAAAAAATCAACAAATACTGCTTTGATTGACACAAAATTAGGCAGGAAAATAGCATATATATTTATGCATAAATTAAAATCAATAATTATAAACAGAAATGAAAGCAATATTAAATTTTTTTAATTTATCAGATAATAACATACTGGAGACTTAAACAGAATTATGTATAAAGTAAAAATAAACAGTATAAAATGGAAAAAAAGGACATTTATAGGGTATGCGATCCCCCTTCATCTGTATACAAAGTTTACACCTTTCAATTAGGTGGTCAACCACCGCAGAATTAAACAATCACCATTCTTCTCGTAGAGCAGTTTCCAGCTCAATAACAGTGGCTGGAGATGGGAAACGTGAAGATACAACACGGCCGAGAGCATTCCAAAGATTTTCAATGGGATTAAGGTCGGGCGAATATGCTGGCCACGCCATACGCGCAATCCCTTCACTCTCCAGGTAGTCATCGACGATGTCAGTTCTATGGAGACCTGCGTTATCATCCATTAAAGCAACAGCGTACTGCTGCAGCGTACAATCTCACAATAGGTTCTAGGACTTCGTCTCGATACCGGACAGCCGTCAAAGAACCCCGTTTAAAAATGTGCAGATCGGTGCGGTATCCTAATGAAATCCCTGCCCACACCATAATGCTTCCGCATCGGAATGCGTGATGTTCGGTGATGTTTTGGGACTGATTGTATGTTTGTTGTTCACGCCATATCCTTATACGCTTGTCATCTGGCTCCAGACTCTTATCTTGACTCATCAACATCTTGACTCATCAGTAAGCATGACATTGCCCCAGTCAGACACATTCCAATTGACATGTTCCCGGCACCACTGTAATCGTGTCCCTCTTGATTGTACGCATAGAGGAACACAAACTCGAGGTACCCGGGCGTACTTACCACTCATATGTAATTTTCGGCGTACAGTAGCTGCAGATATCGCCTTACCAATGAACGCTGTAACCATAGATGTCACACGTGTGGAAGACGCTCTGCGATTCCGCTTGGTTACAGTAGCAATATATCGAACTTCCTCGGGGGTTGTAACCCTTGGGCGACCGGCTACGGCTCTTCGGACAACTGTCTGTTTGGTTTGGAATTGTTTCCATAAACGTGAAATTACAGAATGATGAACGCCGAAGAAAAGAGCAACATCTGTGATCGACTGTCTGCTTTAATGCGCCCCACAGCACGCCAGCGCTCAGAATCTCCCTGCGTTCTTCTGGAAGTCATAGAAACACGTATGTCTTGTAAAAAATTGTACGAAAGTTTTAAACACCTTCTATCAGCACTTAAAATCAACTTCTGTAACCTTTCATAAAGCTGGCTGCTTATAAGACTGCCTTTTTTATTTCTTGACATGAAAGCGCGATTAGCTGTTACCTAACATATTTGCATACTTACATCTACCGCTGCAGCGAATTGCATCCTCTTCAGTTCTGATTGGCTTCCGGAAATTAGCATTTTCCTCTCGGTCTTGTTCTCGGTCTCATAGTTCATAATAATCTCGATGGCTTGAAAAGCTAGACAAAGTTTCTGCATATCTCATTTAGCTGATCAAATTATCTGAGCTATTGTGGTTATTGATTTCATGAGATAAAGGGTTTTTCTGATCTTTGAAAATGTTGATGATTTCTGCTAAATTCTCCTGCGGTTTTTTCTGCTTAATTTTGTCACTGTAAAGTTTTTTAGGCATTTCTTGATCAGTTTGGGCTGAAGCTTGAATGAATTCGGGGAAGTCATCTTCAGTGGGAATTTCTTGTGGTTTTTCTATCTTCTCTAAATGATTGAATCTTTTTCTGTATACCTTACAATCACGATAAGAAGAAACGTGATTTTCGTGACAGTAAATGCAAGTCGGTTTTTCATCTGGTTTTAAATACAGGTATGGATCGTGATTTTGTTCGCACTTACAGCACCTGACTTTTTAAAGCAGTTATTTTGGGAGTGCCCGAACTCCTGGCAATTGAAACATTGAATTGGCGTTTTCTGGGTGATATTTTTCTATTGTGATATGAATCCGAACATATTGTTTAATTGACGAATTTTCTCTTCTGCAGAATTGCTTAACTTTTGGAAATGAGTGTATATTGGCGAAGGCCGCACTAGGCCGATTGCCTCTTAATTGCGTTACGACATAGACGTAGTTATCATAGGAACGAAATATAACGCTGAACCTAGCGCCAGAGTGTCGCTATTTTAAACAAATATAGTAAATTTTAAAGAGTGCATTTATTTTATTGTCGTTTATGCGCTATCGACGAAGTAGATTCAATTCAATCCGATAAGTTTAAATGAAAGGCAAGAAAAAAATGCGTATAATTTAATATTCCGTACAAGGAGTCATGTGGTGTACAAATCACATTTTTTTAATCATAGTCACAAGACCAATGGGCGCAAAAAACGCAGGACCGATCTAAAGTACCAGTTAAACGGAGTAACTGGATTTATACGTATTATATTTAAAAAGTTAGTTATCTGCGAACTCCTTTCAGTTGTAAGATCATTTGGCTAAAGCAAAGTGCTTGAGAACTGAGAGCCCTTTCATTACATACGCTACATTACAAAACAAACTTCTATATAATATATCTATTTCTTTTTTTCCTTCTTTTAGTATTGACGATGTCGTACTGGCTTCGTATTTCAGTGACAACTATATGTTCAGTTTCTGCTATACGATCAACACTTTATGGTCTCAGCCGAAAAAGAAAATTATGAAAATAAAGAAATCTGAGAGTACGTATATTTCTAATATGGATTCCGATACTTTCTTTACTAAATAACATAGTAGTTTTTAATAACTATGTTTTAACACAAAATTACAGTTATTGTAATTAAATTTGTCACATATTTAAAACAACATCAGATAATTTTATGTTGTTGCTGCATATGCTCACTTTTCCGACGTAGTCAGCCGAAATACCTCGTGGGAAGGAGCGCTAGAATACGCTTGCCGTTGGCAACAGCCCTGAGCACCATTCAGGTGATAGTGCGATTTTTGCTGAGTTCCGCCAGCACCCCCGGGGGGGGACGGATCGGAGGGTCTCCCTCATCTCTCTCCCCTTCCACTAAACCACACTAGAGGACTTTCGGCTCGCCGCATATTTAGAGTTCGCCATGCCGCACCGACACTATACATTTACAAAACATCCATGCCTTCACCGGGATTCGAACCCGGAATAGCAGCCAGCGACACTAACCACTGTACTGGTTGGGCGGAAGATATTTTATAGAACGTTTTACTTTAAAAATTCAATGGATTTAAATCTAATGTGGAAATTTTAGATATCAAGGAATTAGTAACTTAGTTACTCGGAATGATTACATAAAGAAGAAAAAAAAAAGAGTTGAAATACTTGTTTTTTCGCAGTATTTAATATTTATAGACAATATTTTAATAAATATGAACTTATATAAATATAACTTAAAGTATAATTAAATTTTTTATTTAAACAATATTCTTCTTTCATAGATTTTTAATTCACGTTTCAATGAAGAGAAATAAGACAGAAATTTTCAAGTTCGCGGGAAAATCATAACATGATATAAGAAAAATTCTTAAACAAAGAACTACCCACATATGAATACATTCAAATAGAAAATTTAGGTAAAAAGTTACCTTCTAAATTATTAGCAAAGATGCACTGCAGTGATGAAGAAGGTATCCTATCTAAAACTGAGATAGACTCAAAGTTAATCGGCACAAGATCCGAGAATGTGATAAAGAAAAATTATAATGAGTTGTCAAATTTGTGTAATAAAATTTGTAATAATTCACAGTGGGGGAAGCAGTTAAGTGATTAATTAATATGCAATCATATAGTAATTATCCCTTTGGTCCAAATTGTCAATTTTTTGCATGTTATTTCATTCTTTGACTTTAAGAAAATGCTGATTGTTATGTAGAAACGATGACGCCCAGAACGGTATAACGATTGGCAGAAGCCGATTGCTAGTTGTTTGGAGAAAAGAGGACTTCATGGCTCCTTCCATAAACTGTAGTCCAAACTTCAGTGAACGAGCTTGCAAGTTTGTGAGTAGCATCTTGTGAGCTTGCATGTTTCCGAGTTGAATTTCGACGGAAACTGTTACTCTAGCCTTTTTTACCCATTGGATTGCTAAATTTGGAGTTCTCGCTACCATAAATATCGATCAAGGCCGACAGTTTGAGTCACGCATGTTCACTATTCTCAATAAAATTCTTGGTGTTTACCGAATTCGGACTTCTCTATACCACCCTTCAACTAATGGATTAATTATACTGAGCTGTGTTAATTATACTGAGTAACTGAGAGATTCCATGGTTCACTAAAATAAACGTTAATGGGCCATAATGCTGTCCAATGGACAATGAGACTAGCAACATACAAAGAAGATCTGAAAGGAATATGCTCGGAAATGGTTTATGGAACGACTATTCGTCTCCCTGTAGAATTTTTAGAACTCACCCAAGTTTCTAATTCTTCTAAGCCAATTTCATTTTTACGTAAGGAATTTGGGAGGCAATGACAGAAATAGCATCGGTACCTACACCGGCCCAGGTTAATAATAATAGGTATTTTGTGCATCCAAGAGCATTTTTAGTTTCAGGTACTGTAGAATTGGTTCCCTAAGCAGAACTCCTACAGTAAAAGTGAATGACATTATACCTCCAGTGCGGACTACTCATTCTGGCAGAAGAATCTTCCCTGGGTATCTCTGACCCCTCGTACGTTTGGCACGTGTGTGTGTGTGTGGGGGGGGTAATGTTGCGGAGTATTTGCATGCAGTATTCTATGTTTGCTTCGCTGTACCAGTGCGTACTTTTTATAGTGCGAGTATAAAGATTTTTCGCCGAGAGACTCATTTTTCATTTGCACTTCACTATTCCTGCTTGTTCATGGTAGATGTTTGGCTTTGGCTTATAGTATATTTAGTTTTGTGTTTTACCTTTTAATTTTAAGTAAATTTAATTTTATGGTTTACTGAAGGACTTCGGCTTTCCTTTTGATGAATCTTCTGACAAGTTTGGAGTATTCTGGCGTTAAATCATCGCTACAAGTTTAAATGGACTGGATAAAATATGTTAACTGAAACAAAATAAAAGTTATTATTAAAATTACTTTGGATCCCAAAACGATTCATCATAAAATGCACTTTAAAAAATTAAGAACAATAAAGCAAATCAATCAAACAGGCTTAACTCCCCTTCCTGCTGTAGATAATACTCATAATCCAACTACTATCTTGTTATATGAGAAAAGTGTAGCTACTGAAATATTCTAAATTTTTGTACTGGAGCTTTGAATCCAGATCTATTTTTCTTTAAAATGATTCGTGTTAAGTAACCTTTACATGGAAGACTAATACATGAATCTAGTAGCATAATTAAATTTTAAGTTATAAAAAAAAATTTTCAAATACAAATAATGCCACAAAGTTTGTTGTTTTAGGAATTGAGTTAGAATTCTATGTGGATATTTCTGACAGAGATAAGAACGCTGAACCAGATAAAATACAATATCCCAAATATGTTTACCCCAGCTCCTCCTCAATACAGTTGGCAATTCATTCACCGTACGTTACAGGCAGTCCATATTCTTCTGGTATGGGATTTCTTGGTGGGAAGCGGTACCAAATCAAACTCAAACAGGTAATTGAATAATTTTGGTTTCTTTGATTTTTTTTCCTAGAAGAAGAATTGCAGTTATACCAGTGCAGAAATCTTCATTCGTTCACATAATTAGTAGATTATTTTTGCAACTTTCCAAAAGGCGAAACCAGCTTTAGCAAGAGATGACTGCACTAAAATACTACAAAGGTACTGTAAAGAAAAGGAAAGATATTGTAACGTATTTGCGTTGCTACGCTACCAACATAATTCCACTAAGAAATGTAAATTACCGCAGACGATTATCCGCAAGGAATATCCGCAGACGATGAGCGCGCTTAAAACTGTTTTTCCAGTTATTCTGTAAGTTTTGACTAATATAAAGTTTGTTGTTCGTTCAAAAATGGCGAGATTTCTTTAAAACTTTATTACAATATTAAAACTTTATAAATATAAACGGTTAGTTGTTTTAATTATGATGTTGAGAGATGATGAGAGAAATTGGGGAAGAAAGTTCGTTGTGAATGTAATACCGACTGAAAACTAAATTCAACCACCAAAGTTTTGTTTTAGACTTAACGAACGGATATCAAGGGTTTTTTAATGGGTTAAATGACTGTGGCAGTCCAAGTTATTGTCGTTAAATTCGCAGTCCAAGGTCAGCTTTATTTAATTTATTTCGTAAAACCGCTAGCATTAGTCTAAAGATTAAAGAGACATTTATCTGCATCATGAAATATCATGTGTACATAAAATTGCATTTAATACAAAGTCAAAAATCATTATAATTTGTTAAACGTATTAAATTAAAGTACAATTAGATTTTACAAGAAAGAAGCAACTTAAATGACTGAGTTAAATGTTGAATGTACTATGAGCTTAGAAAAGAGAGAAACAGCGAATACTCAGGCAAGTGACTGTCGAAAGATGCAAATAGCTTATATAGTAAATTTAAATACCTTACTTATTGAATTAAAAATAGTACCATTTGTAAAAGTGGCTCTACCTCATGCACGTTTACAAAACTTTTAGGGAATTCAGAATCGGAAAGTGTTTATGAAAACATTACTACATAATCACATTAAAGTGATTATGTAGTAATGTTTTCATAAAGCAGTGCAAGCACATTTCGGAAGTTACTTTATTATTTGCAAGGCATACTTTCCAGTAGAAATAATTGCCTAAAAAACCTTTGAAAAAGGAATTTAGACTCACGATTATTTTTGTTGAATAATCTCTTCTTTTCAATATTTGTGGCCTAGTATTCTATTTTTATTTCCAGGAAGAAAAGCATCTTTTACCACCGCCTTATCAAACTAATTGTACAGACTATGTATCTCCCTGGTTAGCAAGAAATGGAACAGGATCTCTAAACCAAATAGTAATATTTTTTGGTATATTTTTGCTGTAAAGAAAAAGGCCTAAGAAAATTCTTTAAAATTGTACCATAAATCTTATGATGATAATTCTACCGAACATCAGTATAGTAAGCAGAATTCTAACATAGGATAGTTTAAAATCTTTTCAAATATTCTAGAAGTTCTAACGTAGTAATTAGCATTATATTTCAGTATTTTATAAACGGTATTCCCCCCCCCTTGATAAAACAATTCACACTGTTCACTCAGCACTGAATTTCCAAAACCGCATTTCTTCGCCTACTGAGGGCTCGTTGACACGAGTACGCTCGCGACGTAGTTGCCGCTAGTTGTTTTTCGCCGACGTAAATTCGCATTACGCAAAAGACATAAAACTGAGTTCGCTCGCGTTCAGCTTTTTCGTCCGCGACATAAACGAACAGCCAATAGCTGACTGAGTCCTTATCACGTGACATAATCGGGTAAAACTTGCTTACCTTTTTCAATATGGCATCAGAAACAGGTAGCGTTTATAAAATAACATATATAGTTTTTGTTTAAAAGGATTGTAACTGCCCACATGAATAAAATCATTAGCATTGTTTACGATATCCTCAGATTACTCAAACCATATATATATATTGGTAGAAATTTCAAATTCTCATTAGAGGGACAAAACTGTATACTTATAAAGCAGTGATCCGACCAGCACATTCATATGCTTCACCTGTATGTAACACCGTAAGTAATAGCATTACTAAGTAAATTACAATTTCTAAGAAATCAAATTTTCTGCCTTACAAAATTCTCCTTAATTATTACAAATGTTCTCTATTTCATCTGTAACAAGAAGCTTTGTAAGTATCTAAATATCAATATCAAATACATCAAAAACTAACTTCAACACTATTGCAACTTTTAAAATAAATCAGTTGAATCTGAAAGAGTGTTTAATAAAATACAGCTTCGAAAATTTTCGAGGACAGTTACACCTGGGCCGTATAACACTCGTTTATTGAATATTAATTAAATTAAATTTGCAATGATTCTACTTATTCCATTATTTTTTCTGAGAGCTACTATCAGGGATAGCTGAGTAGTCAGCGGCCTGGATTCCTAATGAGACTTGTCGGAGGAGCTTGTTCCTATGTGAGCGTATCAGACATCAAAATCCGTTGACCTAGGGTCTTATACTCTCTAGGCCAGCGGTTCTCAACCTTTTCACTAACGCGTGCCATCTAAACAATAACGGGAAAACTTTAGTAATACCACTACATTTTAAAATGATTATTTTTAAATTTCTCAACAGAAATATTTTAAAATAAAATATATATTTTCTCATTTGCACAACCTGTTGGTTAGTTGTTTTAAATATGTACACATAACCAAATTAGATTAAAAATTGGTTACCATTTTAATTAACACAATTTAAGTTATAATACTTTAGTTCTAACATTTAGTGCGAAATTTGGGCCTGTTTAAGAAAAATCAGTTTATGTCTCGTCTTATTTCAATTAGTTTTAACCGTTAATTAGGATCCACTTTTAATTTTGTTCTGTATATATTTTTCAAATATAACATTGAAGAAAATTCCTTGTTCACACAAATAGGTTGTCCAAAAAGGCGATAAAAATTTAATAGATTTATTTGAATTGCCTTTAAATTCTTTTTTTGGGGTTCACCCAAAAGTTAACAAGTGTGTTATTTTTGAAATCTTCAGCTAGAGTTCGATCGCAGGAAATTTCTATCAATTGTTCTTTTCCTTCACGAAATAAATTTCAAGTATATTTGAACAAAATGGATTCCTAATCCAATTTTCTTTTTCATAATCCTCGGAAAATACATGTTGAAATTATTTAACAATAAAAAACGATGATGATTTTTAATGTCAGATGCTAATTCTTTTATTTTCAAATTATTTTCTGTTAGAAAACCTTCTAAAAGTGGTAAAAAGCTTAAAATATTATTATCTCGAATTTTTTTATCATTGCATTTACTTTATCTCTAATGATAAACAAATTAACACTTTGTCTTTATAATCCTAAATTTAATTCCTTTAACTTTCCAAAAATATCAGCTAAATATGTTAAACAAGCCAACCATAATTCAATAAACAAACAATTTTGGAATTCAAATTTTGAATCACAGAGGGAAATTTGAATTTCTGATAAAAGTTCAGAAAGACGATTTAAAACTTTGCCTCTGGATAACCATCTACTTATGTAACAAAAGCGTTTCATGGTCATTGCCCATCTCTTGGCATAAAATCGTAAATATTCTTGAATATAAAGCTCGGCTTTTAATAAAATTGACAATTTTCACAGCTTGATTCAAAACGATTTCCAGGTTTTCTTGGGGATTGTTTTGGTTACTAAAGCTTCACAACGAAAGGAGCAGTAAGTAAATTCAGTTTCAGGAGCGACTTTCCTTATTTGAGAAATCAATCCAGAATGTTTTCCTGTTAATGAGATAACTGTTATCTTTTTTATAGAAACTTGCTTTTATTTTTTATTAAATACAGCACCCATATTTCTATTACTCCTTTTAAAAACATCATTTATGGCAAATTTTGTTATGTCTATGGCTAAAATTATATTTGTGAAAATAAATCGGATTATTTTGCTAAAGGATGATCATACAAATTTACGAGTGTTAGAGAAAAAAAAACGTAACCAGGTGTTGGGGCACTTAATTTTAGAATTTAATAATTAAAAATACTATGTTTCTTTTTGCGTCCCACTTGTTTTTCTCTTGCTTACCATCGGTTGAGGATTGCTGCCCTAGGCCGATAGCTATCACGCAGGGGCTATCGAGAGCAGCAGCTAGAGTGCAGTTCTAAAGAGCGGAGTGCATGAAATACTAACATCAAATTTTTCTCAATGAACATACAATTTTTTCCATATTTCGATTTTACGATTCAAATTATGTTTAACTGCCAAGTTTTTTTTTTTTTTTTTAAATCGCACGAGTAGATTTTTAAACATTAGCTCTTAAAATATTAGCTTCTCTGTGTTACTTGAATTTGGTACATATTTATTAATATCTCTTTTTTTTTTAATTAAACTTACTCTATTCCTTTTTTCGCAGTTAAAAATTTAGGTTTAATTCTAATAAAATTCTCACACATTTTTCTGGTTTTATTTTTTAAATTTCTATTTTTTATAAATTTTTCATAAGCACTTCTGAATTATAACTTTAAATTTTTACCATCACTTTAAAGTAGATGCATATCTGGGTATACCAGCAAAAAATTGGAGTTTTTAATTTAAAATTTCCCAAGATATACATTAATTTATATACTGACTTGTTTTGAAATTTGGCATATTTATTATAAGCGATAATAACGCCTAATGTTGTTTACGCAATTTGTTAAAATTATTTGAAAGAATGATAAGCGATAAGCAACGGAGGACGTGGGCACTGTCCCTTTACCAAAAGGTTAATCGGTATAGCACCACGTCCACCTATATCGGAGCCTAAAGAGAATTCAAGACGCCACGCACCGGGCGCCCAAACCCCGATCCACATTCAAACGGGGCATTCCAACAACCAAATGCCCACGAAGACATCCCAACACCGCCCAGGCCCTACATTTATAAATAAATAACAAAAAGCGCAGGACAAGGGCGAGTTTTGACAATAAGCAAAATTTTACAAAGGTGTAATACACACATATAGAATATACATAAGCAAAGTACAGTGATGTTGGGCAGCCAATAATACAATAGTAAAAATAGACAGTAGAATAGCTTATGAAATATACATAAAATAGAGACATAGTGAAATAATGAGTAAAGATACAGCAACACCGAGGATTCTACAAAGAAATAAAAGAATACATGTAAAAAATGCAAGAGCGGTACAATCAAATATCACGTGTTGTTGTGGGAAAACATGCATAAGGCTAATATACGATATGAGGAATAAAAAAAACATATTTAGCTGCATAAATTAAGATATAAGATACCATACAATAAGATACAATATCAATACAATACAATACAAAAAAAAAAAAAAAAAAAAAAAATTAAAACTAACTGTACTAAAGCCCCTGAATAAATATATACAATACTAACAATCCAAGACAAGACGATACGTAATCCACAATATAAGAGAAGGAGATGCTATACAATACTAGCAATGAAATACAAAACATTCAGGTGGTGACAAAAAATACATTTAAAATCATGACACTATGAGGAACCATATGTGGTAAACAAAATACATTTAAATTGCATGACACCATGATCCTAAGCAGCAATAAAGATGCAGTCCCTCATAAAATAACTTATGAATACCATCAATACTATACAAACTACAATACATAAATACAAAGCTAATTATAACGATATAATGAAAAAATTAACAATTTAACCGATAACGCCAAATATATAAGATCTAAAAACAAAAATACCATAATACGAGACGATACGTAATAATATACATCCTTAACAATAAAAATAAAACATTCAATTGGTAACACAATATACATTTAAAATGTCATGACCTGTGTCCTATGCAGCAAATAAATTGATGCAGACGTTAATTTACATACATTGAAAAGGATGAAATATGACTTAGTAGCCAAAAATAGAACTAATGATACGTGAAAACAAAAATACTTAATTTGGATAATACAATGGATAATTTGAAAATGGGATAATGGTTGGATATATTATACAATGAAAATCTCTTGAAAGAATGATAGCTTCCTCCCTTCTCATGCACAATGAAAGGAAAAGAAAATTAGGTTACCATAAATTAAGAATTTCGCCAAGTGAATTAACCTTGGCGCAAACTGAAAAAAGTGTGCCAAGATAAATTTTTAAATATCTCGATATATTTCACATTAAATTTTATAAAATTTAGTGAGATTTAACATTTAAGCGTAATTTGAGTAGTAAAATTGAAACGATGAAAAAAATTGGTATGTCATTTCGGAAAAAAAAGTCCGATTTTGTGTGCAAATACCTATGTTAGAACAGTGCTATATGTAAATCTAATAAAAATCCGAAGTCGCGCTTTCGATACATGAAAACCACAAGTTAAATTTTGTAGAACGGGAGATATAGAATTGTATGCTTTTTCTGTAGAGTGTACTTACAAACAAAGATTAGAAATATTTGTAAGCGATAATATAGATTTTAATTCAGTAATAATATGTTGACTTTTTTAACGTACAAGTTGTTTTCAATTTATTAATTTTATATTTACTCATGCTTATTATTCCGTTGATATCTTAATATTTGCTTTCATACAGAAATATGTATTATGTTGCTCTAAGAACGAATTATTGAAATTTTACTTAAATTTCTTATGAATAAAAGTTGAGAGTTTATAAATTGCTTTAGTTTCTACAGAAAGCACAAATTAAGCAAAACTTACTTTATTAAATTTTTATCATAGATGGTGATTGAGGAATGCAAGTACAATCTTTCTCTGGCTGAAATGGGTTGTGTTCCTTTCACAGTTGATTATCCCCATAATACCACAGTTTGCAGGCATTGCGAAGGCTGCCAGAGTGAGTATTTCCAGCGAAAACTATTATTAAATATTACTAAGTGATATTTTACAATTTCAAGAACCGTTTGAAAATATTATATAATGCATTACTAAAAACTCGAATTAATTATAATAAATTCAAAAATAACGAAGTTCTTCAGGTTACAAATGTACTGAAACCTCTTTAAGAAGACCACACATCTTTCCAGAAGATTTCTTCTTTGGAAACCTTTGCAATCGCTTGAAGGAAAATGACTAACTTCAGTACCAGTATTTAAAGTAACCGTGAGAACAATTAATTTAGGTACTCTTCGGTTTCGAGGGCCGTAAAAAAATTGCAGCGAAAATTTATGCGCAAAAGCGCCAAATCTAGTAAACGCGCATTTAACAGCGAGCCAATCTAGCGTCCGCTGATCAGATTGCGTAAGTTATAGTTCTATTTCTAAGACGCCATGAAATCTAGCTATTTTTAAATCCTTTTTTTTAAATTTTAAAGCCTTTTGAGTCTATGGATTGAACAATTTGGAAGGCCCTGCGAAAAGGAGGCACTAGATGTGGGAAGTGCAAATCATCACTGCTTGACGCTTTTAAGATGCAATATCGGTATCTGTGCACCTCGACCTATTTCACTTGAAAAAAAAATCTAGAATTGCACAAAAGGCACGCGCCCCCCTTGCCTTTATCTAGACCATCGACTATTTCACTTAAAAGTAAAGAAAATAACAAAAAATCAATTTTTTACCTTCTAAAAGCGGCATAAAAAATGATGAGCGATTCTGCATTACCGAAATATTTTCAGAAAAGGCATCATTCATATAGAAATACGTTAGAACAACCACGCGATGAATTATCTTTAGCGTGAGTCGGGAGCGATAGCGAATGAAGCATCCATCAGTATGTTAGCATTTTATGTAAATTAATGCTATGAATGTTATTACTATTATACTTCATTCAGTATGTTTAGCCTTTCATATAAAGTAACCTTTATATGAATAACTTTCATCTAAATTAAAAATCAATCTTAATAGTTATTTAATTAAATTCTCTTGCCGCAATTATTAGGGTTGCAGCAATTAATTTTGGCAGCATTGGCATCAACAATAGTTTGGCGATTTTTTAAGGCCCTCGAAACCGAATAGTACCTTAATTTATTTTCAGAAAATGCGTCTCAATGACAACGACAGACGATATCTTGCATCCTTTAATAAAATTCTTAGGCTTGTTCTGATTAGGTCAAAGAAATGAAATTATTCACAACAACGACAACAAATGTGCTTTGAGAAATTTTAATCAAATTTACAAATTGTCTTCTTTAGGAGGTAGTGGACGTGATATGTTTCACTACCTCTAAGATAGTTTTATGATTATTAATTATAAAATTCTTCACTTTCTGCAACATAACTTTTTGCATTTTCTGAAAATAAATTAATTTTTCTCACTGTTACCTTAGAAAATATAAAATTTGAAATAAATTCAGTATTTTGCTTAATCGTCGTTAATAAATAAAGGTAACACACAAAACGTTAAAAAAA